TAAAAAAAAAAAAGTGCTAGTAAGAGTACTTTTTTAACCATATATTTACATGGCTCCATGTACCATTATAACATTTGTATAAAACTCAAGTATGAAAAATGAATTTTGTTTGACACATGTAAGTGCTTTTCCGGTAGTTTTTATTTTCTGTTTATAATAAGAGGGTAATATTTAACGGTAGTGCACATGTGGTTTATATAAGTTCCATTCGTCCATCCGCTGCAGTTTTTATTTCTTTTTGATGATTGTTGTGCAATTTGGTTTGGTGCGCTTAGAGAGTCTATAATAATTAGATAAACTTACAGTACTTTCTAGTACTTCGAATTTCTTATATTATATCACTTTAATGTCTATAAAATACGTTATATCTATATTATATTACTTTGCTCTCTATTAAATACAGGTTCCCGAGGACCGACATCTATTAATCAACAATATGAAAAAAAAAACCTCTGAATCGAAGTTATAATACCATTATAACATAATTATATTAATAAGTGGTACGGCCCTATTAGGTATAAGTTTACACAATTCAATAAAAACCACATTGCCTCATCTCTTTGATATCAACGCTTCCTTTTCGTTAAAAGAAAGTTCTTAGAACTTTAATTTGATAACCAGGAGAAGGCTTTACAGTATACGTTAGAAAAGGTATATATACTGCTTAAGTGTAATGACCTCTGGCTTATTCTTTATATATAACGGAATATAAAATACATATGGTTATAAACTAGTGTATGCAGTACCGCGCTCTGCGCAATAATGATTCTATATGATTATTGTTTTTTTGGTGCATAGCTAATCAAAAATAAGTAGAATTCTACAAGGAAAACGGCTTAGCGCCATCACGTACCAATGAATAGTAACTACCGTCCCTTTAGTTTAATATTAATTTTTTCTGCGCAAATAATGAGAGGTAGTTTGCTTTAATGGCGTCAATATTCTAATTAAAGTAGACTTTATATGTATCTTCCATAATAGCTTTGGCCTTTTGTATGGACATAAAATTTACAAAGGGCATCCTGTAGGTGAGAAATTAAATAATTTGAGCAAACTTCGTCAAGCACGTTTAATTTTATATTTTAAACCGAAGCGGAAAAAAAAATGTGGATACTGCCTTATATGTAACCCGAAACAAATTAAGAATGCTCCCTTTATCTGTAATCGTGTGCTGTGCCCTCAAAGATTTAACCACGTTATTCCTTGCGTCTTTTGGTAAACGTTTGCCGTAGAATCTTGACAAGAGGGTGCCATCCACAGATGGACTATTGTATCGTTATTAGACTGAATGAAAATGACGTGGTGTCTAGCAACCCTCTACTTTGATTGTGTCCTTTGAGCTTAAGCCAAGACAATAGTAACCCACGATATATACACTATAAGGTATGAGGTGTACATTTTTGTCCTCAATATGGACCCTACCCTTTATAGCATTTAATACAAGTTATTACCTTTAAAGGCCTGTTTATTTTACAGAAGTTCTATAATCGGAAGTGGGGGGAGGGGTGGGGGGAAGTAAACTGAGGTCGTTTAAATACATTACCTTTATTTTAACTTGTAGAAATTGGGGGTGGAGACTTTAAAAAAGCTTCTAGGGGACGTCTAATGTTAAATACGATAAGGTTACAATTATAGGAAAAGAGTAAATCACATAAAACACTTGTTTGTCATATATTATAAGTACATTATTTTTAAAATGTCCTGCTACCAAGTTATAATACTACGTTTGCAAATATAATGGTTCGCCTTATGAGGGCTATATTAAAATGAGGGCAACAAACCGACGTGTGCCGATCGTCAACGAGAGTACTCGGCGAACTATATAAACTCTTTACACGCTCCCAAGAAAGGGATCCCTGGAAGAATTCTTAATATACCTCTTCTACCTAAAAAGCTTATTTTTGTGCTCCCATCGAATTATATTTTTCGAAAACCATGAGCACTAACCGTACCAAATGAGCTCAAGATTTATTCCTTAAATTAATTATAGTAATGCAGCAATCTACTTCTCTGTTAGAGGCAAAAAGCACATATTGCGAAAGTATAAATCTACTAGCTCTCATACTCGCAAAATTAATGTACTTTTTTTAAATATCAATAAATTACGAAAAAGAGCAAGAATTTTTAAATTAACCCATCGCTTAAATAAGAAATTTCTCCACCTCTAAAACAAATGGAAGAGTTTAACACAGGAAAAATAGCAAACCATTTTATTTTAGAGGAGGCCATATAAACGTCAAGTGTAGGGCGCATCTTTACTATTAAACAGTTTGGATCTCTACAACATTAAAAGCATTATAAGCAAGTAAAGGACCAGTCAACGTTTTATCACATGAAATATTATTAACAAAGAGCTCTTCTGAGTATAAATAGAGAAACTCCATAATATAAAACCAACTGTTGGAGTTAAAACTCTTAACTCTAAACATTCCTCGTGAAGCAGTACAGTCAGGAGTTAAAGCGGAAAAATCTTTAAACTGCAGACTGGGATAGTAACTGTCAAGTTCTAGTTCAATTGGAACCCACGCATCTATCATTACTTGGTTATTCAGATATTTGGGACATCACCATATAGCAAATTGTAGAGATCTCAATATTCATTTTTCAAGTACTCTTTTTTAGATTATAAACCGAAACTGGCAGCGTTCAATGACGAATTTTGCGACTCAAATCAAAATATAAGTTCATACCTTCTTAAGCACTTTAAATGTTGATAACACAATCCTTGAACTTAAGTGAACTGAAACCTACAGGCCAGCAGTAAATACTAAGGTAACACAAGATCGTGGATCCGACTCACACCGAAGCGATTCTCTTTCTCAGTCTTTTGATTGTCGTGTACGTAACCTTGCCCTCACAAGTTCTAATACGTTACAAGGACCGCTCTGCTCTGCCTTAAGCTAAACGCAAGGACACCTCAGTTCGACTGAAGATCCCAGCCTGATGGTTAATAACATGGAGGTATAACAGGTAAGATAAGTAAAACCATCATACAGGGATCGAGAGATGTCGACGTAGCGAAACAAGGTAACGCTTTTTTAAGTAAAATGGTTTGCGAATATGTTTTACACCTGTAGTGTGCGAAACTTAGCTACCAGGCACAAGGTATGTTGCTAACCAAAAGGGTGGCCACCTGATTACAGGGATTGTAGCGCCAGTTTCAAAACTGGGGAAACCGACGGATACGCACTCAGTCCCGGTGCCATAAATGAAATTAAACTTAAATTAACATATACAGAAAATCTTAGATTAACGAATTTTTGCATCAGTTCTAGTATCATAGGATCGTCTGCACGGTTGAAAAAATGTGCTATTTACTATGGTATAAAAGTGTCCTGTGAGCTAAAACAAAACATATATATATCAAAATGACGATCCCAATAACTAAGTAGTGTAGAAAACTACTTACATCCGAGAGAGAAAGGGCCACAAAACACCAAGTAAGCAAGAACAAAGATATTAGGGACGTTAAAGTAAAACTACTGAAAAACTACAAAAAAAAACATGCCTGAAAAATTTGTTTGAACTTGTAATAGGAACAATACTATTCCCTATATCATTGAAAAATATTGCCGCTCGGAATCGAGTGGTTATAGTGTAGTTCTGGCTACTAGAACTAAATGAATAAAGCGCCGATCCCACAAGGCAACTAAGTCATAATGTGTTAGAAACAGTTACCATGTAGTAAACGAGGTCTTACACAATAAACTAGGAGCGACAGAACTGATAAGATATCCAGTTAAATTTGGCCCAGTAGAGCTTAAATTTTCCGAAAATTGCTTTAAAAATATGAATATTATTCTTTTTATAAAATTATAAAGCTTTAATAAAGTAGTGAATACTCAACCGATTAACCTAAAATAGTACTTTAAGGTAAATAGCCGAATAGGTAATAAATATTCAACAAGTAAATAGGATTATTCTAAAAAGAGTTTGATTTCCAATCTATAAATCGGATCTTGTTAAAGTCACTTTTACCTTGCAAAAAATTTTTGAGGGCCACAGAGTAATTTACAAAGGGCTTCGATGAGGTAAAAACTCGGAATGAGCATGGTTTTAAACGTGCAGGCAGCGGGCAGCTATTATTAGTGTGGGTATTAATTTATATAGCGGCGCATCCACAACTCTTTTGAAGCTCAGGAGTAAATAATATATCCGTTGGCATTTGGTTTATCCTTCCCGTTAGGGAAAACTTTTTATATTAAAGGAGAGTACAGTGAGGTCAAATGTAACTTCAAAAGATAATATATTAGAAGTAGCGAAGCGACCAAAAAAGAAATTTTTGTGTTAAACAGAAAGGAGAGAGTGAGGGTCTATTTTAGTATATTCACTTAAAAAAGGTTTGGCACCCCCACCAACCCAAGCAAGTAACACGATGAAATGTGTCTTAAAAACTGCATCTTGGAAGCCTTCCTTCTTTTACCTTAAGATATGTTAAATTTATTCTATTATTATATTAAAATTATATATATTACATATATATAAAGCTAATATATATATATATATATTATAAAAACATATTATATATATTATTATATATTAATACTATATACAGCCCGCTTACAAGCCTGAAAATATTATTCATTACTTACTTTACTTATTAGTATCTTCTTCTTACATTATTATTATTATTATTATATTTAATATTTTTATAATTTGTATCTATAAATTAAACAAAAATATTTTGTACTACTCTACACAAACCACCTTTTTTGCCACCCCCACCCGACGACGCAACAAGCTCAGAAAGCCTAAAAAGGCGGAATAAAGAAAGTGAAAACAGAGAAGACCCCCCCTCCTCCCCTTCTTTCCCTTCCCCCCCCCCCCTCCGCAGAGAAACGGAACGAATGCACAATGCGGACAGGCAAAAAAAGTGGGAGGGGGCTCCAGAAGGGCAGGGCAGTAAGCAGTAAGAGAACCCTTTTTAGCTAACTACAACACACTCTCCCCCCTTTTAATTAATCTCTTTCAGGTTAACATTATTGAGTATTTGTACCCAAAGCCGGCCGATGATTCCCCCGACAAGGTGTGCAGGACGGGGCCAACCGGCGGAAGTCCAAGGTAGCAAGCTACCCCTACGACTTCCAAGAGCACAAAAATAAATTTAATATTGACTCGGGGCCAGTGGCCCCGTATCAGATATTAAACTGATAAGAACAGATACTACACTTGATCTTAGCCAAAAGGCCGAGAAGCGATAGCCTCCCCACTCCTGGTACCTACTCTATATATATCAATTTGTTAAAATCTAAAGGGTTGGGGAAAATTGGGACTTGAATCACGTGTTTTTTGGGAAAATTTAACTTAAGGCTAAATTTGGGCATAAAGCATGACTTTGCTTTTTTTTTTTTAAAGCAATGGAATTTTGCGAGTTTGCCTTTCATCTCCTTTCTGTGCTAGGCTACTCACACTTAATACTTAACTTTGACTCGTAAAATTGTTACTCTTCTTTTTTAATATACTTATAAAATTCGGTTTGAAGTTCGCAGAACATTATATTTATTTTATTAGAACAAGTTGTAACGAAGTGAAGCATCATTTCTTCTACTTTCGTGCCTCTCTTTACATTAACAAGTTAAAATACTTTTTTTTATTATTTTTTGAAAACGGTTATCATCTGATTATACGTATGTGTATATTTTTAGTTTTTTAAAAAACCGCTAGTCTTTAGAAAAACCACTTTGCGGGCGACTTTGTCATGCGTCATATATAGCCTTGAACTTTTTATCCAAATAAAAGCGTACTAACCTTTTTCGAGTTAAAACAAAAATAGTACTCAGACAGACAGACGCAAAGAGTCTTATTTTAAAAAAAAAAAGATAAACTTGCTCAGCAGCTATTGTTTGGCTAAAACAAAAATCAATTAGTTTCAAAAGCAGCGAACGATGATTTAAAAAAGTTGCCTAAAAGATTCTTCTTATTAGGACCTTTTTTTGTTAAAATAAATCTTTTTTTTTTTCCGTTACAACACTTACTTAAAACCAATAGTTTTGCTTGAGAGTTAAAAATGGTTGTTCAACTTGCGTTTAGAGCGTTACATTCTAAATGTGAGCCCTATTCTTTCCATCCTTTTTTTTATTATCTCATGTGAAAAGGGAGCTCGTTCACTTTTTTCCAAACTATTTCGTTATAAATCCGGCGAGAGGAAGGTTATCATATATCGTTTCTGGCGCTTTGCCAGGGGTCAAGTTTTTTTAATCACAGCAAACTAAAAAACTGAGAACTAAGTTTTAAATTACGTTTTAAAAGTTATCTAAAAGCTTACCATAAACTTGAACCAAGGGCTTCATATAATTACTGTAGAAAAATTGAAATCTCTTCAACTTAAAGAATCACTTTAGAAGGCCAACCATACCATTTTTTAAGCTAAAAGTTGGGACCTACAAGCTCTTCAACTTTACTGCTACTTTACCCTTATAGCGTAGCTACAAGTTACAAGTTCGTACACGAAGAACTCGCAGTTTATTTTCTACGAGATTATCACTTTCTTGTTTTAATTACATAGTGACATTTATTTGAGAATACTATTGTAATAAAGTTTTTAATACTCTTCAAAGTTTAATATTGTCTAAAGTTATATAGTAATTAAGAAGCGTTGGTATCCATATGTATATGACAAATCCGAGACTACCTAAATGAGGTGGGAATGACAACCTCGCTTGTCCTTTTTACTTTTTATTAATTTCTTATCGACTTGGTGTTTTTGTTATATGCTAAAGGGCATATACTAAAGGGCATATACATCCACGTATAATGATGACGGTCATACTATATAGATTACGAAGTCATCACGCAGGCTACTAGGCGATGGAGCAACCCGTGAAATCAGTCATCTATGTCTTCCTTCACATCTCAATCATCTGTACATCCCCGCGAAAAGCACTTCGCCTCGTCCCATCTGAAAATTCAAAGCGCCAGAGGAGTAATTAGTAGTACTCGACGCACTACGCTGTCAGTTAAATCAGAATAATAATAAATTTCATTTCCGACGGAAACGGTTTATTAGAGTATCAGTCCTGTATATGTAATTCAACATGCTCTAACGCACCAAAAAGTGTAACATTATCTCTACGAAGACGATTGGGTGTTGTCAAAAAGGAATATTTCATAATATGAACATATATAACTATATTAACTATATAACTATGAAGGAACAGAAAGAATAAAATAGAAGAAAGCAGACAGAACAGAACAGAACCCTAAAGCATAGAATGCGACCCAACCATGTAAAATAATAAACATGACTTAAACTTCCTCTCGAGAGAGGAGGAGAGTTTTAAACTTGCAGATTGTTAGAGCCCCCACCACGCCAAAAAGTGGACGCCCTACTTAACCTTACAGTTGTCGCAGGGGGTCTCACAGATCTGGAAATTCTAAATACAGATATGTCTCATGAAGCATTGGATATTACGCTCGGCCATTTTCGGTACTTTCCAATAAAGTACTTTCTTAGGCTGATGCGTTTGTTAGGTTGCATACCGCTCGAAGAAATGTTTACAGAGCAGCTTCAAATACTAATGCTTTGAGGAGCAGAAGGGACGTAGCTGTTGAGCGGGTTTGTGGTGCATGGTAGTTTATATCATCAAGACTGCAAAATAGCTCGCATGAATTACTTAATGTTTCCGCAGATCATTGACTTGCCGGTGGCAGAATCAGGTTTTCCAGGACTTGTAAACATACTCGGTCCTTCGCTGTTCAGGTCTAGGCGCACTTATTGAGGTAACTCGTGAGGTTTCTCACATTGCATCGTTAGATGTTTCTTTCCCTGCCCTCGCTTAGTTTTTGCATGAACTCTTTAAATTTGGCAGGGTTTAAAAGGTACGTGCTTAGCGGCCTAGAGCTGTACGGCAACCTGCTTTACTCAGAAAGCTGTGGGTTTTAATTATGCTAACACCTGATTAGGTTTTAAATTATCACTTGTTAGAATACTTCAAATTTAAGTCAAAATTTGGATTATATTCCATGTCCAAGTTGGCTCTGGCAGCAGTTTAGTCTTTAAATTTATAAATAAATTTTTTGTAAGATGACAGCTTTCTTACCCTAAAATGAACATTCAGTTATAAATTGTATGTTAGGAAAAACTATTTATTTTCCAGACTAACTTTTTTTATTTAACGATAGAATATTTTAACATGTTCCCCACGCTGGCATTTGATCAACGCCAAAAGAGTTCCTGTCGGTCGTGTTGCTCAAAAAGCTGCTCATCTAATTTTAGGAAAGCATAAACCTATATACCATCCTGCCCGTAAGTTAACAATTTTTTTAAAATTTTATTTAATATTAACTAAGATTTTCTTAGTTGACATTGGCGATTGCGTTGTTGTAATAAATAGCAATCTAGTTGGGTTTTGTGGAAAGAAATGGAAAGAAAAAAAATATTACAAGCATAGTGGCTATCCGGGTGGCCTTCAAGTTTGGACGGCAGAGCAACTCCACGAAAAGAAGCCCACCGAAGTAAACCTTTTTATATGTATAGTATCTACTAACTTGGGATAAATCATTCTTTCCGCAGTTGATTCGCAAAGCTGTGTGGGGGATGCTCCCTTCGAACGCACTTCGTTACAAGATGATGAAAAGACTATTTATTTTTATAGACGACAAACATCCTTTTGAGCAAAATATTGATTCCAAAGTTCATTTAGAACAGAAAGCTAATGCGACATACTCTCCTAAAATTGTAAAAGCGAAGCTGGCTAACTTGTCGTGGGACGATATAAATGAAGATGGAAGCATTTTTTAATTTAATAAAAAACTTATTTATTTTTGTATTATACTTAAAGACAAATCAATATCAATTTTTTCCCCTTGAAAATATTTAATGAAACTCTAGTGCCAACAATTTATTTTTACTTGCTAAGCCTCATATAAGCAAAGCCCAACGAAATTCCGGAAATCATTGCGCCTAAGTGTAGTAAGTAATTTAAGAAAATTGTTCCCAAAAAAAAAAGTTGGGCCAACCAAAAAAATACTTAAGAAAATCCAACTTCCCTTGCTCGATCAAAGTTTTTAGTCTTTCCGCCTGAAAATAATAATAATAGTAGTTAACAATTCCGCAAATTTTTTAACATATTAGAAATCTTGAAGTGTATTATAGCTATTGGTAATAAAGTTCTCAATCATCTAAGAGATATGAAAATTTTAAAACTTTTAGCGAAAGATAATGGCGCTAAAAGGGCTTAGATCAAACTTAGGACATGTAAATAACTGGGATCTCTTATAAAGAAATTACTTCTGTGTCCACGTGGTTTCTAGCATCCTGGATCGCTTGCGACTGTTGCGCGTGGAGCTCGCGAATGCGGCCTTTTTCTAAACTGAAATCTAAACGCAGGTGGGCCTATTTAATATATATTAAAGCAAAATAAATTCAAATTCCGAAATACTGAGATTTATATATATATAGGCATCGTATCTGTCCGCAGAAACAGTCTTTATTTTTGCGGTCACCAAAAATGCCGTCATACCTTTTTATTATTATATGGAAAGCGAGTGATACAAACAGCATAACTAAACTGCAGTATGTTCTGCTTTCTTTCCAAAAAAAACTGAACATTTATAAAATTGTTTTTATTGCCTGCAACTTGGCTATCTCATCGTTAAGACTTAAACGCAACTTTTCCAAATCGGCCTATAATGGGATTCAATAAATTTATATTAACTATAAAAATAATAAACTAAAACTAAAATTAAATAAAAGTTAAATTATATAATTGCTAATTTGTATAACTTGGTAGTAAAGAAAAGATTTTAAATAATAGTTTGTTAAAAAAAACCTCAAATAAGTCTAAAACTTTTAAAAATTGCCAAGAATATAAATAATATAAAAATCACAATTAAATAAAAAGAAAAGGGTGACATTTTTATAAACAATAACTTGAAAAAGTTAACAAAGAAAACATGTATTTTCTGTTGTTCATATTTGACAAGAGTAAATTTCGATTTATCCAAAATTTCAATTTCGTTTTTTAAATTTGAAAATTTCAGGTCAATAGCTGCAGCAAACTGATTATGGTCCTCTCGTGAAATTTTTATTTCGTCTATCCGAGAAAAGCTGAGTATAAAATTTATAACTCAAGCATAAAACTATGAGAGAAGAAAAATTAAGAACTAGAAAGGAATAAATAAAAAGCAAACGATGAGTCTGTTGTATCTTTGAGGGTGTCACATAATACAGAAGCCTGTTCATTATTAAAGCCAGCTTTTTGCAATTTTTTCACGACTTCGTATGTGTCAAATTTAGGTGCGTTAGAAAAATGACCTTTGACGATTGTAACGTTTGTTATAAATAAAAAAAAATAAATGTTAAACTTTTTAGAGTTAGTAATTATAATCAGTACATATTATATTTATGTAGGAAGTTATAAATCTCCATTGATGTAGTCTCATGCGTTATTCGTTTTAAATTAGGTTAAATTTTGGAACTTAAATCTTTTATTAATATTTACTAAAATAGTTTAATACTTAATAAAACAGTTTTTTTAAAAAAAAATTTGGGGGTAGCCTTCTTTAAGGGTATTTTAAATAGTGCTAAAAGGTCAAAAGTTATTTCGTACTTAAGCGGTACAAACTATCATTTGTTTGAGGAGGTCAGATGGAGGTTAGATATTGCCAGTTGGTGCACAGGTTAGTAAATATAGAGGAGTTTTTTTTTGATTATAGCGGTAGTAGGTGTCGTGCTTAAAAGGGTTTTTTTTTTAATCTCATAATATGAGCAAGTATGTGAAATTTATCTCTTTCTTTTTAATAACAGCGGTAGGACCTGTAAGTTACGGATATTTTTTATACACTCCTGTTTAAGCTAGGACTGGTGCTCTACTTTTAGTTGTGGGTTGAAAGAATAAAGTAAAAAAGAAGGATAAATAAGAAGTTAGAATAATGAATAATTAAAAGTAGCCCTAAATATAATATAACAATCAAAACGTAAGTACCGCCCTACTGTTTACTAAACTAAGGGCGACGATACCTCCATCGTAAGTTAACGAAAAGTTTAGGTTAGGTTTTTTGATAACAATACTTTAAATCCTGATGACCGTGATGTAGGCGCTGGTTTAGTACACTCGATGGTGCTTCAAAGTCAGCTTCCTTTCGTACATGTAGTACACTATAAGAATTTTCTATTTTAAGGAAAATTTTGTTTTTGTAACCTTTTTTTTTATTTAGACAAATACATTAGATTAAATAGAAGTAGAGGTAGAAACTAACTATGACTTCAGCGTATAGATAGTTAACTTTACTTCTAATTTAGTATACTACCCTAAACTGAAATCGGTAAACTGTGCATACTGCTATTTTGCTTATATGAATATGCCCAATACGATGAGCCAGTTAGGCTTCTTTTACTAAAAGGAAGCCCTCAATCTTATTTTACATGAAGCGTAAGAACTTGAATGATTTGGGCGATTTAATTTTAAAAGAAATATTTTAGTATTATTGATATTAGGTGGTTAATTTCAAATATACGTGAAGAGCCATGCATTAAGTCTATGTATAGCTAAAGAAATAAATGTTCAATATATACGTGTAAATAATACGGATATCTATAACCTATGCAAAAGGTCGAGTTTATTGACCAGTTTTCAATCTTAACTTATACCCTTTACGAAAAAATATTTATTTTTGTTTAGTTAATTTTTATCCATCATTATAGGTTAAAATTAATTTCTCAATTTTTTTTCTGTAATTTTTTATAGGCTTTTTTCATCAATTTAAAAATCTTTTTACTTTAATATTATTTTTTACAAAGTACAAAGCCCCTCTCGTACCCGTTAAAGGTAAAGAATTTCAAAGAGGTTATTAGCAGGAATAAATTAGTAAGAAGGGTTATAAAGAAGTGTCGTTGAAGAGTATTGAAAAGAAACTTCCAAATTTCAAAAAAAAAAAGAAGACGTAAATATAGGCGTACAAACCTATAGACTCCTAGATTGACTTGTGTATGTATGTATCTACAAGGCTACGTCAGCTGAAGGTTTCAGTTCTTTGGTGTTGGCGCAAGCTATTTTAGTTGGCTTCATTTTTTTCTTTGCTTTTACCTGTGTCCCGTTATAAGCAACCATAGTTAACCTGCAGAAACGACGCGTTTAGGAGATGGCAAGGACAATAGTTGTAAGGTTTTTATATTTTTGTGTTTATGTATTTGTCTTGCGTTTGTGTATTATGGGTTAACGTTACTGTGCATGTGTCTTGTATTATGTGGTTTTTTGTGTTATTGTCGTCAGCGTAATAGTAATATTTGAATGTAATTTGAGAGTAAAAAGTAGTCGATACTTAAGAATATAGATATCCACTTGCAAAGGAGCTCCACACAAAAGTTGCGTACTTACAGTATTTAATTGAGTGGTATCTTTTTTTTAAAATCATTAAAAATTCCCTGCTCGATAAAGTACTTTGTATATTTAAAAATTATCACAGTTATTTTTAAGTTGAAAATATTGTAAATATTGTACTGCTCACCAAGGCTTTTTGGTTATGTTCTTTTCCACCCTAAAGTTTAAAGCGTGAGTATTTTATTCTTTCCGCAATTATATTCTATACAGGTGTTATAAACCCAAACCTAACGGATCTACACTTAACTTGACCGGCAGGAGGATTTATATCGCCTTTTTGGGTTTATAGCAAGTGCCTCCAATCTGTTCTTTTACATCTTTTCTTATCTTTATATTTTAGTCTTAAATTTGCCTTATTTTACTATCTAAGCAGGTCACCTTCCCCCCCCCCCCCCCAGTTTTATATACTTTCACACTTAAGCAACCTTACTAGCTTTAAGTATATAAATCTTAGTGATCTATATGACTGGAATGTAGTTTTATCTGCGGTTACTCATTAAAAGTCTAATAGGAGGTTGTTGACTCGGTTAAACACCAAATCATTTTTAAATAAAATAATGAAATTGACTTATCGTATGGCACTTATGTGTTTACTCTCCGTTCCACATTTTAGTAACATTTAATTTTTTCAAAAAAGCTGTAAATATTGTCCTTGCGGAACGGAACAACTAATTCTTCGACTTCTACTCGGTCTCTTTTCTCGTGGGGTTTTATCGCTTTATCGACGTAGTGCGTTAAAAATTGTCTTAGGTTGGATTTATCATGCTTGTGAGCTTTAAAATTGTTGCGAGGTAAATACCCTTTTATTCACTGCAGTACTACCCAGTGACGCAGGTCAACTTGTGAAAATTACTATTAATGCGGAAAAGAGCAAAGCTTTTTTTATCACAAAGAATCGCACTACACCGCCACCGTCGCTAATTCTTGAGAAAAAGGTAATCCCTTGGCGGACTCAAGCGAAATACCTGGGGGTCATTGTCGAATGTTAAACCCTCTTGGCGGTCGCATGTAAACTGGATCGCGGCGAAGATGAGGGTGGCGGTTCAAACTCTTTAACCTTTGTATACTGAATCTATCATCCTTTCAGCCACTTTGTTAGAACGGCACCCTATAAATACGGTAAGTCTCTATTGTACTAGGAGGCCCACAATTTTTTTTTAATAAGCCATTGTATATTAAAAAAAATAGTTTAAACTAAATTTTAAATTTGAAAAAGTCTAAATAAAAAAATGTTTTTAGAAATAAAACTATAGCTGTTTTGTCCCTCAAAGATTTAGTTTAATTATTAAAGCAATTAATGTGTTCAAAACTAGTATACTAACTGTTTTTCTGTCACAAGATGGGTTTATCTCCGTAGAAAAAGGATATTAGACAGAAAGGTTATCTGCAAAGAGACCGCTTTCTCGGTAAATTTCAAATTTGGCTTTTAAAATAAAGATTTGAAAAAGATTTGTACTGAGTTATCATTTGACTTCCTCCCCCTTCTCTAAAAAGAGATTTTGTTTATTGTCACTACCTACGAATTAGGTTTTATTTATACTCTGGTAGTATAGTAATAGGTTTTAGTTCGTCACGTAATACATACCACAAGAAAGTAGTCCCCTTGTAATGAATGTTTTTAAATTTTTTTTAGACTTAGTACTTTATGTTAGAATTAAAAATACTATCTACTGTCCAGTTTTTACTTATTAAAGTCTGTTAAGGCAGTTTATTCAATTTGTTTCGTAGGATCTTTTTAGCCCTTCAGATTATTTCAAGGCTACCGAAAGAGTTATGTTAGTTTTTTAAAAATATATTTTGAGTGAATATTATCTAGAATATTAAAACGTATAAGAGTACAAAATATATTAATTTAATTTTTCTTTTTTTGACTATCTTCTAACGTTTTATTTTTCGGTTGTATAATTGATTGTTTATTATGGAATTAAGGTACTTTTTAAATTCTAAAATAGTTTATTATTTTCGTAGAGATATTTCTCTATCTAAATTATTTTTGGATGGTAGGTTGGTTCGCACTAGGTGCTAAACGAGGTTAATTCTTATTTATTAAAATTCCAACTGTTAGTAAATGTGTTACCAGGTTCGCCTTCTACTATTGCAGTCTTAAAGAAAAATTTATTGGAAACTAATTTTAATTGTTAGCGTAATTTACCTGAAGCTTTTAAGTTAAATTTTTGTATAAATAATATATTTCCGGCTAACTTTTTTCAAACACTAGGGAAAAAATAGTTTGTTTGCTTATAGCTGATCTTAACTAAAACCAGTGCTTAGAAAAACTGAAAAATTAAAGTATAGTTATCTTTATTTCAAAAATTTAAGATCGAGAAAAAGTACTTAAAATCTCAAATTAGAACTTCAATGCACGTGCAGACTTTTTCTTCTTGTTTACTCTTTCATTAATCATATTAATAGCCTTTTTTAGAGAAAATAAAAATAATAAAATAAATCTGTGACTTTATCCTGAACAAGTAAAAGAAATAAGAAAAAAGTCCACTATACTTTATAATTCTTTCAATGTAGAACTAACTTTACTTGGACTGGAAAGCGGGCTCGAGTCACCGAAGCAAAGGATCCCGTGAGATCGAGGCGTCGTCGCATGCTAGAAAACGAGCAGCTTTTACGAAGCTTTATAATAAAAAAACAGAAAAAAATAGTAAAGTACGGAGGAAGCCGAAATCACTGCCGTTTCTGCTGCCGCCGCTAATTTTGGCCGCTTCGGAGAGAGAAAAACATTTTGTTCCAGTAAAACTTTTTGTTCGCTGAACGAACATGTGTGATTTAGGGCGGCGAGGAGAAGAGATTGTTCGACTGCAAGCTTGTCGTCCTCCTTTAATAATACCGCATTAGTAATCTAAACTTTTATTCACTTACACCAAACCTTTTCAAGAGAAAAAATAGATTTTTTAAGTCGCGGGATGAATATTGTGTTATAGAATCGTATGATGTGTCCCCGCTGGCCATCTTGTAAAGGAACGCGCTTGTAAACCTCAAAAAGAAGCAAAAAAATTATTTTATTACTTAAAATTCTATATTTTAAGAACAATGTCTTACTGCATTCCTGTCTCTATATAAACTGCGGTAACGCTCTATAATAACTCGAAAAGGAACAACGCTCGGAGCTAAGCGCATCGCGCCATAAATGCAACAGATGATGATCTCAATTGTACAGCGTTAGATTTTTTTATACATTTTACAAGTCTGCTTATTACAAAGAAAATAGTCACCTGATCCACGTGCCTGTCAAAAAAAAGATCGGGATGGAAAACAAGACTCGACTCTATAAGAAATCTGATCTTTTCTTTATAACTCTAAAAAAAGGGAAAAATGACGATCAGCCCAAGCATCTATAACGGTTGAATTAGCAAAAAACCGGCGGGATCTCCAAAGCGCCCGCCAAGCTGCCCAGTCGGCTTAAAAAAAGGCGATATATTTTCCGATAGAAAAAAAAAAGTTCTTTGCCTCGCGGGGGAGTTTTTTGAAGATCCCGCGGAGGCGTCTTCGGCAGTTCTACTTCGCCTCTTTAAAAAATTTGATCTTGATTAATTACTTTGTATACATAAAAAGCCAGAATATGATTATTACGAGTGTAACTTTTTATAATAATCTTTGTAAAAAGAATGATCTTTCTGAAGTGAAAGTAATTCCAATAAGGAGGCAGAGCGCCAAATTAATTCCTCTAGAATCTAAATATAAAAAAAGATTTGATTTTTTTTAAAAAATAGTAACAATCGTTACGCGTTCTTCTATAAAAGACAAGTGCTGAAGCTGCTGTCCAATAAAAAAAGTTTCAAATCTTGAAAAGAACTGGATGACTTTGAGACAATCAAAATAATCTAACTGAAGAGCAGCCACAACCGCTTCATAAGTGAATTGCTTGCAGGCAGAAGAGAAGATTACAATCTAAAAAGCAAAAAAAAATTATTCTGAAAAAAAAAATTCCAAAATAAATTTACTAGAACACGATTAGAAGTCAATATAAAATCAACACAAAAACAGTTTTTCAAATTTACGATTCTCGAATAAAAAAGGGAATAAAATCTAAAATTTAAATTTGTCCATAGCATTAATTTTTTTAATGTAAAAATATAATTAAATGCAATAAAAAAATGGTAAAAAAGGAAAACATTAATATTAAGTCAAGCGAAAGGAACAAAAATAAGGAAAAAATTACACTTAAAAAAATTTTTATGGAACGATTATAAAATTTCTGAAAGGTAAGTATTAAATTTATTGTTTAACAATTATAAAGACAATACGAATAATATATTTCGGCCAAAAAAGTTGGAATCTGATATTTCTTATCAAGTACAGTAAAAAATTTTAGTAACAGAAAAAAAAATAAAAATAATTGCTTTAATATCTAAAACCGAAAAAATATTTCAAGTAAAAAAAATAAAATTAAATTCGAACAAAAGAAATTATTTTCTTCTTCAAAACTATATATAAGAATTTTATTAAAAAATTATAACTTTGGCACATAAACCAAAACAAGTAGAAGTGTATAATTTAAACACGACTAACAAAAAGATTAACTGATAACGTTTTTTTAGTGTTCGAATTAAAAACTTTGAAAACTTGAACATGTTTCGAATGATTATGAAAACGGTGTTAACGTTGAAGCGAATAAATAAAAAAATTATTTGGTAAATAAGTTTTATGAATTAAAGATACCGAAAAGTATAGAGATCTAACGAAACTTCTTTTTTCGGCTGATGCCAAGCCAAAAATTTAGATCAAATTGTACAAAATAAAAAGTTTATGTAAATTAAAATATTTAAAACAGTATAAAGTAAAAAAAGAATTTTGAAGGGAATTGTACGAGTTATAAAAAGTATTGAAAAAAATATATTATGTATATTAATATCATAATATAAAAGAAAAATTAATAATTACAAAATTTTTTTAAAAGTTAAATAAAATTTACTAAATATTCTTAAGTTGTATATAAATTTATATTAAACTTAAATATGTTGGTATAAAAATGGTAGTAAAATTCATTTCAAAATAATTTTTGTTTCATTATTACAATCACCTTAAAAAATATTTTTAATTTTTTAATAATAAATAATTTTTTAAAAATAATTTATATTTCCATAAAAATTTAATAAAAACATCTAAAAATCTAAAATCTCAAAATAAAACTGAAAAGGGGATTATAATATAACAAATAATTGATTAAAACTGAATATCGAAAAATTATTTAAAATAATACAAAATTCATAAGTAAATTGACAAATTATAAAATAAATCAAACATTTAATTAAAGCAAAGAAACACTTTAATAAAATACTAAAGCAGTGAACATAGAAAAATAAAAAGTTTGAATATTTTTCTATTTAAGAAAATATATTTGCACTGAATATTTTAACAAATGCAAACAATTAAAAATATAATTATTTAATTTTATAAATGACGTCATGGAAATATTTTTTAAAAATTTAAAGCAAATAAAAAATTAAATTAAGATTGAAATTTATATAGTAAATTATTAATACTTCCAGCGCGAGAGCGAAGATGGCTGTTTGAAAATTCCCTAGCAATAATAACTTTTTATAATTGTCAGGTGCCTTGCGAGATTCGGCGTTGAGCAAGCTTACAAGTACTTGAGAGTACAGCTGGATATAAATTGGTAAAAAAGATTTGAAATCCATTTTAAAAATTTACTCTAGCGCAATTAAAATAAAGAGAAATTTGACTAGAGTATGACAAAATTAGAATAAAAAATAAAATTTATTTTATTTTATTTTTTGCTGAAGATTAAATATGAAAGTTTGCTAATTATAATTTTTTAAAAAAGAATATAAATTAATTTTATAGCTATTCAATCTAAAAAAAAAATAAATTTACAAATTTTAAATAATTAAGTACCTTAGTTGCTTTTGGGAAAATTAAATTTGATTTTAAAATTGCCGATAGCTGGTGAGAAAAATAATTGTCAAGCATATTTTCACAAGTCTTCAGCGTTTTTTCAATTGCGGTTATAATAAGACTCCCGCTGCAGCCAGGAAAAATCTAAAAAAATATATTAATTTATGATTGAACAAGTAAATAACTTAAAAATTGCATTAAAAAATTAACTATTAGAAATGGTTATAAAAATAAAAAAAATAATTTTAAAAACTGTATACGAAAAATTTTAAGGGCTTTCTAAAATTTATGTTAAAGGAATTATAAAAAATCACCAACTTTTGTAAAAATTATTCAAAAACTAAATTTACGAAAAATCAAATTATAAGTTTGCATGTTAAGAATTTAAATCACTAAAAAAGTAGATAATCATAGCTTAATTAAATTAGGGTTCCAAGATAATTTTTCTCTTGAAAAAATTTTATATAATAAATAAACTTCAAAACAAAAAAGCGTAAATAGAATTTATAAAGTACACTATAAATTTTTATTATATTCAGCACAATAATACAAAAATTACTCAATAAAAAATAAAAAAAATTAAAAATTGAAATATAGAAAAGTTAAATCTATTTTCTTTTAAAACACTAAAGTCGTAACATAATTGAGTAAATATTCTTAGAGTAATGTTTTATTAAAAGCCACAACAAACTTCCTAAACGAAATAAATAAATTGAAATTTGCATATTAAATATAACAAAAAGTTTGAAAAAATAATATAAAAATAGTAGTATACATAAATTTTTAATAAAAAATTTGTTTTTTGAAAAATAATACATTTGCAGTACATAAAAATCTTACGTTTACCAGAAACTAAAACTTATATAAGTTCTCATATGTATAGAATTTTATAAAGCTACTTCCATAATTTTTAAAATATATAGAAATAAATGCCTCAAATTCAGTGTTTTTTAAATCCAGAGGAAATGGTACAGTCTCGAGCTTTAAAAAGAAATTTTGAAATTCAGTAGATTCCTTGTCATCTGAGATAAAAATAATTTTTAAAGTAAAATTATAAGTGAATTATTTCCAAATTTAAACTCGAATATAATTGAACATTCGGAAAAATAATCAATTAATAAACTCAACCATTCAAAAAATAACAAAAGAAAATTAACTATTTAGAAAGTAAAGTTGAGTGCAGTTTACTTAGAAATATATAATTAACAAATAAAAAATTAATTAAGTCTACTATAAAATAAACTGTAAACGAACTATCTAACAATAAACAAAAAATTTTTAAAGAAGAGCAAAAGAAACTGCAAAACGTGAAAAGTTGTTAAGTAAAAATTAAAGTAGGAGAGTTTTTTTATAGAAAAATTGATAAACAACAGAAAAACATTCTGTGTAATAAATTAAAATATAAATAAACAAAATGAAACTTTTAAAAAAATTGGTACCAAGTTACTAAAAATTTAAAAAGTAGAATGGTTCTAAAAATTATAGATTTTACTAAATTACAATAAAGGTATTAAAAATTTTCACATCAAAAATTAAAAAATTATTAATAAAAAAATTTGAATATAGCTTACCATAAAAATCCAATTTTTCTAACGAAGCTGTTTTCATAATTTTCCGTTCGTCAAAGTCTGTTTTACTCAAACACTGCAATTCATAAAATTTCTGGAGCTTTTCTTTATTACTGTCAAGACACTTATAAAGATCGTCTAAAATAGCAAAGTTGGTTAAAAAATTTACAAGATTATTTAATAAAACAATATGAAGACAAGATCCGTTTGAGTTGTTACAATGAAATTTTATTATGAAGAGGAGCAGTTGGAAAGCTCAGAATTTATTTTTATTACCCAAAATCAAGATAAATTGTAATTCAATAAACAATTCTAAGCATTAAAAAGCACCTAAAGAGTGTACGAATCATAAATTTATTATAAAGAATAATGGAGTACCAAGCTGAAGAGAGGCCGTAAAACTATTAAAAAGAGGAAGCAGATCCATAACTTTTTCTGCAGGAAACATAAATAATTCACACAGTTTCTTTAAACCCTCCTCTTACATAAACATTATAAAATGTGAATAATATCCTTTTAATAAAATAAAACCTTCCTCAGGAGTATCCTGTTGATAACTTCGCTTTACATAAAAAACATACAAGCAGCACAGAAGCAACTGAAGAGAATTGAACAAATTTGCTCGCGTGCCCAAAAGCTTAGCTGTCCAAGTAATAGAGCTATGAAAAGCCGTAACAGTGAAAAAAGGAAATAACATATAAACTATTTTTTTAGAATTTACAAATAATAAGACTTGGAAGAAGAAATAAAAAATATTAGCAACCTTTTGAAAAGAGAAACAATAACCAAGTAAATTCGAAGCAATTATAAAAATCAAAGCTTTCAAAAGTTCTATGATAAAACGATAGGAGTAAGTGTTACATAACCAGATATTGATAGAAGATTGCTAAACTTGAGAAGTATATAAGAGTGTACCCTAAAAAACTTTGGAAAACCGATTCTGAAACTTTTAAGTATTTATAATATAGGACGGCAACGGAACTAAAACGATCCTCTACTTGGGCTACCCTCTTTTGAAGGCTCTCTTCTACGTTTGCTAATAAGCAAAATTCCTTTACTTTTCGTATAAATTCCATTCCACTAAACTTCCCAAAAATATACTTTAAGTTAAAAAAATAAAGACAAAAAAGCAAGCCTCAGGTTTATTAATTCTAAAAGGTGTTCAGTCGAAAGAATGCAAGAAGATTCCGTTAGTAAACCAGAAAGATACAAAGAGCATACGATCCATGTTTTCTCGTTATGCTAGATGTATAATTTTACTAAAAGTAAAAAGGAAATTAAATAGTAAATATACCACAAACTCGTCAAGGTTGACCTTGCTTAAAAAATTTATGTACATTTCTCTTGCCAAATTTTTAGCAACAGAGTGTACATTTAAAATTTGACAAATATGCTCAAATGACTTAAACTGATCTTGGTTTTTAACAAAATTTTGGTTACTTGTAGAGGCTTCCATAAGAGCTATATATTCAAAAAAGGCCAATCTCTGTTCTCCGGGAGTAGGTAAAAAAAACTATTTTCAAAAAACATTACAATCTAAAATCGCTTCAGTTTTTATTCCTTAAGAGTAAGTATCTAAGCAGTATCCAAGCACGTAAGTAAGCTCAGCAGCTCGAGAGCAGAAACCTCAAGGGAGCCTTAACGATTGGCGCGTAACGTTAAATTGGCTTATATTTTAGTGATTACACTTTACAAAGCGTATTGCCCAATCAGAACTAATCGTTATTGGTAATGTAATGGGTCAACTTCTATATGTATAAAACACGAGGCCAAATCAGAGTTAGTATATACTTTTCTAAAAAACAAAACGCTGGAGACACCCTTTTCTGCTTTATTATTTATATTTGATATATCATATTAGCTTCGTAAAAAAAAAGGGTAATGAAAGTTTTCATGCTTTTATTCGTATACATTTTCAAAATCCAAGTTTAAATCGTCTCGATTTTCAATTTTAGAAAAGTTGGAAAAGTGATCTGGACGGTGAACTTCGTGGTAATATTCTTTCGGATTAGCGAGTTGCAGATCATAGTCGATGGTGGGGTCATGCGAAGTGTGAAAGTTGTAGTTCCACGAGCCGAGCGCAGGTACCATGAAGAAGCCGAGAAAACGGTCGGAAAGGAGCATTTGGACATTCTCGAAAAAGGAAGTCAAGTAGCCTTGAATGTTCGAGGCATCGCGGCTACTCTTGCCCCACTCCAAGCCGGATGGGGTAATCTTATATGCAGAAAGCGAGCACGAGCCTTGCGTGAAGCTGCACGTCATGACTATCGCCTTCTCAATATCCCATTCCCTGCAAAAACCGCAGATATAAGACACAACAAGCACAACATCAAAGCAGAATGGAAAAGGCACGGATGCTCCGCAAGAATCTTCGAGTGGGTGGCTACGTCATGAGGATTTAGATACGAGCCTCCAGTCTCTTCCGGCTGGGTGTGGATCCAACCTACACAAGCCGCCAGTAAATATGGAGGGGACGAGAGCAAGGGAACAACAGTGAGAACCAAGCGGCTCCAAGTCGTCCAAATACTCGTTCTGCGGTAACTTATTGGGGAAGCGGACGGTCTGGTGGGTGCCGTACTGGGGCGGCATGACAATGCAGCGCACCTCGTAGACCTGCGGGTTATCGGGAGGATGCACGCCGTAGAGATACCCGCCAATCTGCGTTCTAACACCCGCCCAAAAATATAAGAGCTAAAGACGCAAAAGAGGGAGGCGGGGAGCCGAACCTCAGGTCGGCGACTATAATAAACTTCTTCAGTATATTCTTAGGGAGCACGTAGGTATAACCAGTCTCTTTCACGTTATCGCACAGCACATAGATATGATTGGTTCGGAGGTGTAGAAGAGTGGAGCTAATTGCCCGTACGCGCCAATCCGTTTTAGAAGAGAAGGTGCCTGACCACTGGGCGACGTTGGTGGTAACGAGCATTTCGTCGCCATGCTTATTAACAGTGCGTGTGGTTTTTAAGGTCAGCTGTCCCTGATCTTTCGTCTGCTTCTCAATTTCTGCAATCTGGCGGATGATAGGCAGTCACAAGATGTATGAACCAATCGGAAAAAAGAATCGATGCCTGTTGGCGCTGTTGAGAGGGCGCAGATATTTCCATCCCCAAAATGATATCGCGTATTTCTGATTGGGTTAAAGAAGAGACATTGACGTTGTTTTTCTTGCCGTAGTCGGCCAATATAAGATCCTATGAGCCAACCAATAACCTTCAAGTATAGAAATCAAAAGAAAGTGGATAATAAGCGAATGCCTTCAGCTGCACTTCCACATTCATCCATTCCTCATCAGTGAGCGTCGGCCACACGTGATGAGCCTCGGTAATAGTTGTCTTGTTAGGCTTCAAGATGACCTGCACGAACGCGTTAAAAAAGGTAAAAGGCAAATAGCAAGAGCTAGGCGCCTTCGCTTTGTCCGGGTTCACGTGGAGGGCCCGTAAAATAAGGATCAGCCTGGAAAAAGCCGTGTACGAGGAGATGCTCTTCAGCCAATCGTCATACAGGTTAAACAGAAGCATCTGCGGTTCCATCGCCTTGAGAATGAGATCACCGAACTTTTCGATCTTCAAACACGCCTGAAAGGGAAGCTGGAAGAATAAGCAAAAATTATCAGAAAAGAATGCAAAATGCAGCAAAATGGGCGTTGTGCCTGCAACTCGGATCCCTTAATAACAATGTTGGGGAAATCAAGCAAATGCACTTCCAGCGGGTCCAGCATGCCCGTCCTCGTCACTATAATTTGCTTGGGCTGCTCCTCAACAGGGCAAGAGCGAATGAGAGCGGCCACCTCCTCGGCCGTCTTCCACTTGGCCAACTGCCCCAAGCGCTTCTGGCCCGCCCAGACACTCGTGTGAATGATTTTCAAGTGCAAGCCTGCAATGCAAAGCACAGCGCTTCAATACAAATGGGGCCTCCAAAAATTAAGCAGACGACCTCCAGTGCGTGGGTTAAATATAAATATGGCGCCGTTAATGGGTTTGGTAGTCAGATTGCCTTCAAAAGTCTTGTGAATTGTCACACGGTAGACATTCGTATCATCAACGAACCAAATAATCTGATTGGAGAAGAGCTCGCCTAAAGAACAAAAGACGAGCGCGTGAGACAAACCAAACACCCGCAATTGACTGCAACACAGAGATAACCGTAATTCTGTGAGGACAGGTAAGGCTCGGTCGGCTCAGATGAGTAAAGCTGCAAGCTTTTCCGGATGCGGCTGCGAAGGACGTACAGTGCCGGATCGGCTTTCATGATCTTCGCCATCACGTTTTGTATAAGGGGCTTCGCGCCAGGAAACCAATTGCCGTAAGCCGAGTGCAAATTGTAGGCAAGATCAATGGCAATCAGGCAGCCAGTGCCGGACGGATACATGCTCATATTATCCATTGTATAGTCAAGAAACTTAGCTCGCGCATAGCTAACAATGAGCAGAGTCATGAAAATATAAAAGCACGTGTCGCCAGAGAGGCAAAAGCTACCGTTCAACATCGTGGGAGTCGTAGTCGCCCCACCGAAGTTGGACATCGAGCCAATATTTGGCTGTTGTGGTGCTATCCATCGTGTCTCTGCTGTCCGCCAGAAGCGAGGGTTTCGACACGTTCCACTTGTAGGAGGCAAACAGTAGAATGTCGGCGCACGAGCTGTTCATCTTATAAGACTTGCGGGGGTGAATGCTGGAGAAGACGTTCATAATAAAGGTCGGCTTGCCGAAAGCAAGCAAGCACAGTAGTGGCACCTCTCTTTCTGGACAGTTTCAATATCAAGCGGGTCCAACTCCTGATCGAACGCCTGACACAAGTCCATTACAATGCTTTCGTGTATCTTAAAAAAAAAGCTTAGAGACGAACAGGAAATAAAAAAGACAAATTTGCCTTCTGCCATAAGTGCGCCCGGAAAATTTGAATTAACGATATCTTGAGAGTGGGGATCTTGCCGTGCATAAAGATGCCTGCAGATATACCACGTGTGTCAGACAAGAGAGCAAAAGCAAAATGAGACGACGGGAACAAACCAGTCAGATCGAGCTGGACTTGAAAGCCCACATAGACATTTGCCCGGTTGATAGTGGGGGACCACCACAATGTGAAGCGGCGGTTGGGGATCTGGTTCAACCCCGATCGCTGGGCATTGGTGAGTTTCTTGTATTTCATACTTTTAAGCAAAAATAGTCTAAGTGCAGGCTATAAAAAGGGGTCGTCAGTCAACCTTTCCTCGAAGCCGCTGGCCTTCTCCCAAAAGAGACCCTCCCATGTGGGAAAGTAGGTGCCCTTAAAGAGCGTGTGCTCGAGGATTCCCTCTACGCCCCCGAGGGCTTGGATCATGTCCGTGCGGTAGTTGTTCACTAACAAATGGAAACAGACCATGTGATGCGCTACTCGGAGAAGAGGGGCCTCAAGACAGTCATACAATTCCAAAGTTTTCCATCGTGCCGCTGGTGAGTCCACCAAAAGGGGTTGTTTTTGAGGACCTGATACTGCTTGAAGTCGGTGCGGACGCGCCACCCCTTGTCGTACGCGAGGGTGTGTCTGTCCTTCTGAAATAGCGTGTTGATTCGAGGGATGCCCCTATCCCAGCTGTCCTCGAGATCTTCGAGGGTCAGATGCCTGTTTTGCTGGGCAGCCTCCTGTCTTTTCAAGGCGTACTCCGCCCAGACTCGCTGGGAGTCTATAAACTCGCTTTCCCAAGGCTGGATGTACCGGTATCTATCACGAGTCAATCATGTGGGTAGGCAGCGCGGCACACGCCAAGGCAGACGGCTTACAAGTTGGGAATCAGACAGTCTTCATCATGGCTCATGCCCGACCGAAAATGAGTGATCTGCGTCTCCGTCTGCTTGGACCAACGCAAATCTGACTGGGGAATTAGCACGTGGCCCATTGAAAGCATTCCCAGCCCACCCAGCTCTTTGGGTGTATAAAATACCACCTGCCGGAAAAAAAAGAGAGGTAAACCAATCGTGGCTGAGTATAAACGCGGCAACGAATGTACAGGAGGAAAGCGGGAAGGCATCTTTGAGTTAAGCCCAATCTTCACGCGAGTCTGGATTTTGTTCTCGCACTTCACAAGGAGATCCAACAACTCCGGCGTATTAACAGCCGCCTCCCGAAAATAGGTCATCAAGCCAATCAGGGCTGGTAAAAAAGTTAGTCACCAATACCAGCCAAAAAAAGAGAAGAAAGGACCCGTGTTCCACTTATTAATAATTTTTGTGAACGTGGTAGAGCCCGAGGCCATCAATATTTGCCGGACGCGATTGTTGAACTTCGCCATGCTGGCATCATCAACCCGTAAGAAAGCCTGAAAAAGCATGAAAACGGGAGCCCACAGGAAGAAAAAGAGGAGAATTTACTTGTGCGGTCCGCTCTTTTGTTACTTCGTTCTGCAAGTTCCACACGCCGTCGCGCTGAGACATTTCCTCGAAAGACGCTGCAAGCAAGATGCAAATGCAAAGGCGCCACAAATACAATATTCATGCCAAAAAAACCTCGACATTTGGGAAGAATACGGACTTCAAAGCCGCACATGTTGAACAGCAGCGACGGGTTGTCCTTGCTGTACACTGACACAAAGCTTTCGTCCCACTCGATCGTCGTCACCTTCATAGCAAATAAGGATCCGCACTTAAAAGATTCTCCATAGAATGTAAAAGCTCACAGCACGTGGGAGGCGGTTCTTCATGTCCCAGAAGACCGCACGGCCCAAGTTCACGTCATGCTTCATTAGCCGCATCCTGCAGTCCCGTGCCCAGCACTTCTTGTTGTTGTAGCCAACCACGTTCTCGTTGTTGGGGTCGGGATGGTCGGTTAGGAACCGCTGGATCAGATCCCGGCATTCGTCAGCAGTAAACCGGAAAAATATGTGCACTCTGTTGAGGCGGAAGATATCAATATGAGACACCATCCAACGGAAACAAAGAGATGGGAAAAAGAGACTTGTCGATGTATCTCGAATAGAGCCGGATGGGGTGCCTTGTTTCAATGGCCACAGATTGGTACGTAAGAAAGTCGTTGGGTAGCTGAGGCGGGCCGGCCATATCACTGGCCCGGTGCATGCCCGCAAGAAGAAGGTCAATGACAAGTCCGTAGTACTGAACAATGAACGAGGCGAACTGCAAGCCCCGGATAAGGCCTTGGCGAAATGCGTTGTGAGAAAAGGTATGGAGAGGCGGGGACGAAGGAGAGAGTACTTACCGTGGACGTTCGTGTGGTTCATGTCTTTGTAGTTTATGACGACGTTGTTCTTGGAAGTCATGTAGTCTGCAATGTTGTGATCGACGATGAGCCGAAGCAACGACCGCAGGAAGGTCAGCTCAACCTGTTGGTGGTATGGAAACGGATTAAGTGGGTGCCCAGGGATTGGCAACAAATACAAACTTTCTCGCATAGTCGACTCAAAGAGGTTTCAAGCATCACACTACACTCGCCCTCCGACGTCTCCCAGACATCCTGAAGGTTGTTGATCCCTGAATAGCCAATAAGCGCGCGGAGTAAATAGAAAGGTCAAAACACAAGGCGCACGAAACACCGACCCTGGCACCACTTGTAGACGAGCAACGGCGGGGGCTCGGTGTCAGCGGGTTTAATCCACGGGGGAAACAGTCTCCTCTTGTCGGCTTCGTACCACAAGTACTGGTCGAGGTATGCGTCTGCAGCGGAGCGGCGAAAGACTTACAGAAAGCAGGGCCAATGCATAACACGTGCAATCAAACCTGTAATTTTTTCGAGCGGCTCGATGTCGTAGACAGGGATAAGATGGCTGTAAAGATCCATAAATTCAATCCCGACCTCCTTGAAGTACTGCATAGTGAGGAGCTGGCGCTTGATGCGGGAGAGAGTCTCGTGCGGATTGTCGTAGGCCTTTTCGATCCAGCCAAGTTCCTCGCGCTGCTGCTGGTTTAAGCGGCTTTTCACGCTGTGCGCTTCCTTGAGGCCCTCCAAACAGAGAATCAAAAGTTTGGTGTCGTGTTTGTAGGAGAGAGGCGGAAAGGGAATAGGAGAAAACCGCCGCGACTCGAGCCAGTGGACCTAAGGGTAACGTAGTGAATAGAGAGGGGAGACGGAAAAAGATTCCACTAACGGTGGTGGTGAACATGGCTACGGCCTCCTCGGGAGACATGTACGGGCCGTCCTTGAGGTAGTTGTGCTGCCTCTCCTGCTCTTCCTTCAGATACAAGCGGGTCAAGCGCCCAAGATTCTTCTTGCAGACAGTTTTGTCAACTGTCGCGCCTCTGAGGCACAGAGATTAGGCCGCCCGGCAAATGCTGGATAGGCTAGGCAAAACCTTCTGATTCGCTCTCGGTTATAGTGCGACGTGTTTGTCCACCAGTCAGCCTTCATTTTGACATACCGTGAAATCATGTTTTCCACGGGGATGGGCATCCCAGGAACTTTCCAAGGAATATTAGCTTTCCAGCAACGCCAAGCCTCACTGAACGACTATTCATATATGAGAATTATAAAGAACACGTGGATGAGGACCTCAAGTGCTGAAGAATGGTCCTGGCCTTATTTTGGCGGATACCTTCTGGCATCATGTCCAGAATGTCATGCATAACAGAAAGCCTCAACTCCAAGTCGAAGTGCGATTCCACTCGTTGCTTGGTGATGGTTTTGGCGATGCCTTTGCTGTGGCGGCCTTCGAATTGGCGGGCAAGCAGATTTCCGAGCCAGCGCTCCAGCAGGGGGACTATACCGCGAAGAAAAAAGATCCAAACCCGCCATCCCGGCGCCCAGAAGCCACAACTGCCCAATGGAAAACAGTATAATAAGAGAAGCGAATCGGAAGGCGAGAGCATATTACCCGGGGCCCTTCCCCACGGCACCGGTGTTAAATCGGTAGTAAATGAGATGTTTTAAGTCCTTACACATGCGAATTTGGCGCATGAGTTTGTACTTGTAGCGGTACATGCCTGCAACGAGCATAAGGAAACACGCGGAGGTGGGGGAAAGACAAAAGAGCAACCCGTTAGCTGCCCCACGTGAGCAAATATGTATTGAATGCCGTCTGCTAGCTGAAAGGCATCCACGTTGCCTGCGGTAGGCACTCATCTAGCGAGAGTTGCGCAATGTTAATGTATATCGATCGATACCGAGGCGAAACTGGACGTTGGAGTCGACCACGAGCTTGGTGAGGCGAAGAATTTCCCTGCAGAGGTGGAAGGCGTTTCCGAAGCGTGACTTTTTGCGCTCTTTTGTGGTGAGTGTCTTTACAGGCTTCAGATTGAAGTTATAGTCCAAATGCAGATAGTTGAGGTTCTTCCGGTGTATCAGAAGATTCAGCATGTTGTAGCCCTGCCGGCAGATCTGCAGCCCAGCCTCTACCCAATCCAATTCCGTCGTCTGGAAAAACTTGGTGGCCTTGAAGGAGCGAAACAAGAAGCGTTTGCGAAGAGCCTTCGGGTGGCGCCGCTTCAGCTCGTTCAAGACGAAGCATTTAAGCAGCTTTTGGTACGACAACCGGACTTTCACGGGATGCCCTGCGCACGTGCACAACGAAAAGGTAACACAACGTGGTGGACGGATACAATAGACAAAAGAGACCGAGGGGCACGTGCTCCTTGTACCACGACTTGACGAGGGGAATATCTACGGCCCTTCGAGTGAAGTCTGGAACGTAAGCGAGTCAGAAGGAGCGCCAAGCAAGCAGGATATAGAATATAGTAGTCACCGGAACGAAGATTGAAGGGGCGCGGCGACCAGTAGATATCGATGCCGCTGGCCGTTCTGTCCGTGTAAAGAGGGACGTCGGAAAGAAGCGCTTCGAGGCTAGGCGGCAACGACCACTGCAGAGTAGTCTTTAAAGTAAAGAAAAAAGAAAAAAAAGAAAAACACGAATGTCTTCCTCATCAGACTCGAACTCAAATTCGGGAGTCTTCACTTGAAGCGTATTCCGGTGGGAAATAGGATTTATAAGCGGATCAAAGTAAAACGCAGGAAGATCCGGATCTTCAGGGTTAATGTAAAGAACGTTGGGAGTGTGGTACCACCCTTTAATAATAATAATAATAATAATAATGTTAATAATAATAATAATAATAATAATAATAATATAGAACCAATATGAACTTTCCGGGGGCGGCTGTTATATAAATGAGGAAACGCAATTTTGTATTCTGTGCGTATCTGGTGGCGTATAATAATCTACTCACAACATAGATATTACTATAAAATATTTACAGAAACTTTTCTTAAAAAAATACTCAACCAACCTTGTTAATGTCGTTGAACTCGTCCCAATCTTCTTGCCCAGGATCAATGTCACGGTACAAAGGCTCAAATTTCGGCCCTCCAGGAATCGCCTGAACAATAATTAACGGCTATATAAAAATTTGTAGAGATGCAAAATAAATAATATACTCTAAACTAAAAAAAAAGGTAAATTAAATATTATTTAAATACTTATATTATTATTAAAATAAACATTATTACTGCCACTAACCATATTCAAGGCCTTTGCAGTAAAAAAGGATTTCAAATCAAACAAATAGAAGTAGTTGTCGTCGGAGAAATCCGAGAGTAACTGAAAAGCTAGACGCCTCAAGTTAGACATAATAGGAAGTGTCAAATGCCACTTTCGATAAGTTCCTCCATTAACAAACTTCGTATTTATCTATTCATAATAAAAAAGATTATAAGTCTCTAAGAAGAGTTAAATTAATAATTTTAACTTTGATTAGCTAAAAAATTATTGTTAAAAAAAGTGAAACCAGAGGCTTTGCATCATAAAACCAGTCGTACACGGCTGCATCATCTTCTTCATCAAGTTCCATGCATATCGCCTAATGTTAAAGAATGTATAATAAAAAGTTAGAAGGAATGCATAATTTTTTTTTTAAAATTCATATAAAAAGGGTAAAGCCAACCTCCAAAGGCTCCACGTCCAGAACATTGTCACCATAATCTAAAGGGGGCTCTTCATCATCAAAAGGAGGAAACCGCATCCGTTTAAAATGTTTACGATCCTTTTTTTCTCGACGCATCATAATCCACATAGTCCCCCTAAAAACAGAAAAAAATATAAATATTAATTTTCTTATAAATAATATTTACTAGAACCATTGAGCGATGTATACGGGCTCTATTACCCAAGGAATTTCATTTATAAACGTGATGGCGCCAGTCACGTGGTATAAAACTTTACATTCTTTGACTTGCTCCCACGGCATGGGAAGATTTTCAAGAAGTTTAAGAACGGCGTGGGGGATGTACTTATATAACAAATTTATACACTTTATTAATAAAGATACCCCAAAAATTACTTTCAAGGCGCCGAGGTAAATGCGTTTATCGTGACGAAATTTTCTACTGGACATATCGCCGTGACTTTTTATAATAGTTCGGATATGCTCAGGAGGCATATCCTCTTTTTGTGCTTCCACAAAACCAAATCGGCGTTTTTCACTGTAACGTTTAATCTGAAGCTGTTGCCATTTTTTGGCTAAACAATAAAGGATAAAAAATGATAAGGTCATAAAAAAATAAACAAAAAGAGTTTATATGCTTTCGGTAATATATATAAATATATAATGAATTTTAATAAAACTAAGTACCTTTCTCTCGAAGAGCTTCCTCCTCTTCCGTCATTTTAAAGGAATTACCCGGGGACTCGGTACCTAGTTACAGAAAATATTATTAACTTGCAGCCAAAATTCCTAGCACCACAAAACTTTCATTATAGTATAGTCAATAATATATTTTAATTTAACTATATCACTAATAAAAAGTAAAGACCTGGTGGCTGTAGATCTGGTCCCATTAACAAATAATATTTAAAGTATTACAAAAAAAACAAACAAGACGTTAAAAGTAGGCACACGAAATCGCGCTGTGCTAGTCGAAGTGAGAAGCTACGCGCCGCTCCTAATTTTTCAACAATTACCAATCGTTGCTTCGCTGAACAAGCGAGTGTCGTTCCGGCGTGTCTAAGGCCTTTATATTATAGCTCTATACTATGGTGATTAATTTCTGGTGAGGGCCTTTCTTGCTTTTGAACATAATTTGTTTAATTACTATATATAAAGTTATATATAATATTTATGATATAATGCAACAGTTTTTGTAATATTTGAACTATATATTAATGTAGTTAACTATAAATTATTTTTAAAAAAAAATTTGAAAGGTATCCTCACTTAACTTAGGTTTTATTAATTAATATGTTTTGGTTCTTTTAGTTTTTATTAGTTAATAGTAAATATTTATATTTATTGTGTATAAACTAGCATTTCTTTTTCGTCTCGTCAAGAGGCATCTATAAAAAACTTATTTAACGGACTTCTACACTTCCAACCTAGCCGAGGACAAGGCTGGCAGCGGTGCTGCCCGTATCTCTAGGTGACACGGGTCTTATGCCTAAGGCTGCTTCTCCCTGTGGTGGTTTTTAGCGGTTTTTCACATGATAGGCCGGATGGCGGGGTTTCTGGCTCGATATTTTCCGCGTTTCTCGGGACATCTGTAGAGCTCTCTAAAGGGCGTACACTAGTGGGCACTCGTGCTTCACGCCTGCGGAAGAGGGGATACAGATATAGCGGCTTAAGGTCTGAAGAAAACCGACCGTAGTGTGCTAATAACAAAAAAAATCTAGTCTACAGGTGCTTATTTACTGTGCCCCAAGGGAGGTTCTAATAAATTTTTTTTCTAAACATTGTATAATAGTAGTATACCTTGATATATCCGGCGCTATACTGTTTTTACTTATACACTTAAAGATAACAGTTTTGACCATACTATAACCTCAAAGTAAGTTACATACACTTTCTTAATTTTTTTTAATGAAAACCTGGTTAAAAGTTACTTGAAACCAAGTGTAAAAGTTTAGCGATTGCCTCGTTTGTACTTTACGCTAACTTTTGTAAGACCTATTAAACTTTTTGGTGTCTATTTGTTCTAGTACTAATTATTATATTACGTGCAATTTTACTTAAAATCGTAGATTATATTCGTTATATTTTCAGTTAGCGCTTCGTCCTTTTTTTTAGTGTAAAGTTTTTAAAAATTTTTAAAGTAAATTTTGTTAGCAATAGTTTTACCTTAAAACTTAGGATATTGTTTACTTTACGTCGAAGTTTGTTCTAAGATATCTACCGCTGTATATTATCGAGAATTTACCCAAGTTTTTCTTATAATACATAAAGTACTTGAGAAAGTTTTAATAACGTCCGAGCTGTATATTTACGCCCATACAGGATGCATTATTACATGTCTCTATAGTAGTAACCTCCGAATATATTTTTTTTTCATTTTATTTTTTCAGATTTAGTTCTTTCTTTAAGTAGCTTAAAAAGCCTTGTTTTTTGACCTAATAGACTTTGTTTTTTAGGGAGTGTAAAAAAACTTAGCCCTTCATGTCTGTCACTACCTAAGGCACTTTTAAGGTCTTTTAAAAGCGTGATCCTGGGGTGGGAGTCTTCCATTTCGACATTATAGCTATGTTTCGCCAAACTGCCAATAATGGATCTTTGATAGATGCTACATCGATGGATTCAACCCAATGAAGGAGTTGCTAGTATATGCATCTCGCTCAAAATGAAAGATAAAAAAGTGCACGCAGCACATGCTGCAACTCGAGCGAGTTGTAAAGGCTCCGCTCTCATAGAAGGATGGCGGCGATTCTATAGTATATACTAGTCTCTAACACCATTGTATTTGTATATTTCTGTAGAACTTATCCTATATCAGGAGTAAACACACTTTTAGATCTCTGAAAGGTTACAAGGACCCCATTCTACAGGGTCCAAAAGCTTACCTGTATCTCATATACAGATAGAATTTTTGCATACTATTAAAACACTAATAGGATAGGCCCAGTTTCAAGCTAGTTTATCAACCCTAGAATCAAGGTCATTAGTGTTACTTAAGATTACTCCATACATTATCCTCTTAACTACGGAAGTTAGATTCAGTGCTTTCCTTGCTTTTGTTCGCGACTCTTCACTAAAGATGCAGTACCTAACCTAGCTTAGTCCCGGCCACGATTCCCCTCATCAAGAATAAGAATTGAACAAGTTAGATACACTGCATGCCCCGCCCAGACTCCTTCAGATTCACGTAGAAAGTTACTACACAGATCTAGGGCAAATGCAATCCGGCTAGTATACCAACAACAGATATTAGAGCCAAGTACAGTAGGATGCTAACTAAAAGAAGTTACCATAGAGGGTTATTAATCAGCTCTCTGTGGTCACATAACTTTAGGGAGGCCGTTCAAGCTTAAATTCCCCGTTTATACTTATTTGTGTAGAACTTGGGATCAAGAACTTGTAGTCAGACGTCTTAAAAGTAAGGGCAAGGACGTAAGTCTCTATTATCCAGCTTTTATTGTAGTATAACTAGGTTGCATTAGGTATTATCATTGCTGCTTAAGGGTATGACAGCTGATTGAACAAAGCAGTAAAAGAAAAGTAAATTATCTCAAGTAGGACCATTTAAATAAGGAAAAAAAAATTACGCCAGATTTGTAGATACCAGAATAATATTTCTTTCAAATGCTCAACAAGGTAAAATACAACCTGGTCCTCCCAAGCCAATGCCAAAATGACCACCTAAAGGGACTAGTCAATATACTAGCTTGCTACAAAATACTGAGTTGGTAAGAACACATTCGCTCTTCACATGCTGGTCTAAACTAACTAGGCTAAGTATATTAGTGTCGGGACCGTCTGGGAATAACTAAAAAGGAATTAAATTGTTCTTTCTACCCCCAAGGTTATACCAAAATGTTTCAATCCGGGTTTGACTATGACCTAATAACGTAGCAGCTTTAGGTAAAATGAATTTAATTCCCTACTGAGACCTTGAAAGACCAGGTACTGGTAAAACTCACTGAATCGGCTACTAAAAAGATCAATAATAGTACGAACTCTATCTCAACTATAACCGTTTCTCTCCAGTTTAGCTCGTTTCACTAGTTGTTTGTAGGATTAAAAGAGGGAATAGCCTAGCTATGCGTTGCTATTTCGAATTATTGATATTGCTGATCAATTAAGACAAAAACCAGAATTTATCCATGCTATTGCAATACCTCGTATCTACTCCCATAGAATCAACATCATCACAAGCATAAGCCGGAGAACTTTACTTAACTTATTATAACTAGTAGCTCTGTCAGTTTTATGCTAAATGCCATAGGATCACCACATAGAGTACTTACGCCCAAATCACTAAATAAAGAAACCTTCACTCGGTATCGTATCAAGAAGAAAACTACAGACCTAGTCCTACTAATAAAGGATATAATTCGAACTTGCATTACTTACCCTACAGCTGTGTTTTAGACTCCACGGAATCCCTCCAGAGTCAGAAAGACTGACGTATAAACAGGCCAGGTTTAATTACTACAGGTTAAAATGACCCTTTCCAAATAAAGTTAGTATTCCAAGTCAGTGGGTGTTAAGACTTTCTGCAATATAAATAATAGTTAGAATCTTAAAAAACATAAGCCTGCATTAGCATGATACCGAATTCTAGATAAAAAAGAAAAAATTAAAAGCAGCCAAGGCATGTTCGGACTCATACTCAATAGATTAGAATGTTTATACAAGCTTCTGTAAAAGTCTGGAACAATGATTTGCAAGAGCTAAAAGGTAGTGTCATTATTGCATGATCTTAAGCCTAGGCTTATTTTCCTTGCAGCACAACCAATAATCTCCATCGGGACCACTAACCTATCTAATACCATAAGAGTTGAGACAGAAAAAGTTGACCAAGAAATTAAACCCTTGGGGCCTGAAACCGAAGATTTTTAACGCTCAATCAGACAAAGGAAAAGGGTCCTATAGCTACTACTAATTGAGAAGTCGGATTATAAGCAAAAAGAACAAAGCATGTACATTAGTAAGTACTAAGAATAAATATAAAGATAGTATAAAAGACAGGTGAGACGTTAATATCTTGGCTCATTTTGCAAACTTTGTTAGTTAACCCCTTTTAGGTTACTGGTTACTATGTTTACCACTTGGCGCCTAGGTTCAGTTTGCAAGAATAGGTCTATGTAATTAACCCTAAAGGACAGGCTCGGTCTCTGAAACAAACTCCGGAAAGTTTGAGTACCATATTCTGAAGGATTAGGCAGCAGCCAACCAAATATAAAAAAGTGGTAAATTTAGTTACCAGTAAGCGTAAAACAAATCCATTTTAAGCCCCAGAGTTTTGCCCGTTAAAGATTTAAGAAGTAGGCCAAAATAGTTCAAAATGACCAAAGGAAACTTAAAAGCAAGTCGAGTTAAACCCAAGTCCGCCCCCAAAGTTAGAAGAGGGTTAGACAGCTGTTTGGGTAGACCTGGAATGAAAGTGAGTTTGCTGCAAGTAAATTCTTCTAGTATAGTCAATTCCTATTTATTGATACTCGTTTTAATGTAACCTGGTCTCACTTGTAGGAGGAACAAAGGCAAGTATCGTTACACTAGTGGAGTGAAGTTTAAGCTTAGACTGCCAGGGGAAGGCTCCAGACAGAAGGGATTAAACCCCATCAAAAAGATAAACCTGGTTACAGCCAGCCTATAGAAATAAGATATTTTTTTAATTACAACTAAAGAACTATAGGGCTCACATGCTGATAAATAATTAACCTATAAGGGGTGTTATAGGCAGAAATTCTACTTAGTAGAAAAAAATAACGAACTAACTAAAAACGTTAGCTAATGAAATGTTCCACTAAAGTAGAACAAAAAAGAGGACTCATTTCAACTATGTTAGGATTTCATTCCTAAAATCGGGATATGCATCCTCTTGCAAGCTAAGAAAATGTTAGATTTTTTAAAGTTTTTTAAATAATTTTTGCTTTTAACAATTTTTCTTCCACGGGCATATTAAATGGTTA